AACGGGGACTAATAATCACATTGTGGTCTAATTACTGTATTTATTTATATTATTTAATTTTTACTCTCATTCCCACATTCTTGTAGTAGGATATACATACCATGCAACTATCAGTTGGCATACATATGTGAGGCTTGCCAGTGTATATAAATCTTGTATTCAGACTTTGTTCATGTACAGTTATTTATTTCATTGAAAGATGCACAGTACATTCCACCAATTCAACTGATCAATTCCAATTTGGAATAAGTTGGAGGGCATCTATTTTTAATTCAAGTCCTTTGATAATTTATTTTACAGTTTCTGCTACGCTACGACAAGTCTATGGTGCCGACCTCTCACCCTGTTTACGAAATAGTTGCCAGGGTAACACGTCAGATTATAAATGCTAATTTAGATATTCCGTTGATACGAGATATGGATTGGACAATAAATATCATAAATGAGCCAGAAAAGAATGCTTTTGTATTACCCGTAAGTATAGAATGATTTTGCAAAATATATTGAACTCTAGAGGGTGCACTATAAACTGTAGAGGTGTTTTTTTATCCGCAGCCATATAAAACAACATGTCAGTTGTGTTTTGTTCCAATTTATAGTTACGTCGTTGCTGTGTATAATGAATGCCATTTTTTACCTTTAAAAATTTGCTGAACCCAAACCATTTTTAAGTTTTTTTTGATTTATAGTTATTTTTTTGTTTTCTAACAGAATGGTCAGATTTTTGTATTTACTGGTATATTGAAAGCAGTTTTAAATGAAGATCAACTTGGTATTGTGTTGGGACATGAGATTGCACATGTACTACTTGGGCATGCGGTTAGTGTTGACCCCACCCCTAAATGTAAATCACATTACAGTTACTGGTACTTAAACTTCAGTAAAGTATACTAGATTCAAATCACATTGCAGCTAGCTATCAGTTATAATGTTCTTATATTAATGTACATACTGTCCCCTGTTTGCAGGCCGAGCAAGTCAGTTTTGCTGAGTTTGTGGATGGTTTATCCATAATATTACTGGCAGCATTGTGGGCTTTTCTACCCAATGATGGTATAGCACTGGTAGCCCAGTGGTTTAAAAGTAAGGTTATTGAAGTGAGTATTCATTTTATTGGTGCTACATTCAGAAAAGAATATTTTATTTGACTCAGAATAATGCAAGAAATTACTTTGTTTAAATCACTTTAACCTTTTCACCTTTTCTCGCACAAATTTTTCAGCACTTTTTACCTATATTCTTTAATATTTCTGAAAATGAACCCTAATTTTTAAGCCGACAGACAAAGTTTGAGTCAGTTTTCACTCAAAAAATTAGGTTATCTTTGAAAAGAGGAAACTGGCGTGGAAAAGTTAAAATGACTTGCAGACCTCTAAGCTAAATGGATGCTGTTGTCTTTATTCTCAGTGAATTGGTAACCTGTTTACTTTTGTGCAAATATGATTTGATATTTGACTGTTTGCAACACAGTTGAAAATATTCTTGATTTAATAATCTACTGATTTGTGTTTGTGATAACTAATCCATAAACTAATGTACTAAATTTCAGATATTTCTTCATATGCCGTATAACAGGCATTTGGAAACTGAGGCGGATGAAGTCGGATTACAACTTGTAGCAAAGGTAACAATAACAAAAATATCTTACAAGTAAACATTTTCACAAAATATTGATTTGTTTTCTTAAAATTACAATCCATTTTCTTGACACATAGTCACTGTGATTTCTGTTTTTTTTTTTACATCAGTGATTCCACTCTTGTTAAGACTGGTACTTAACTACAATAATGTCGCAATCTTCAACAGATTTAATCTACTTTGAATTTATGTCTTTTTTAAGCCATGCTGTAAACATTGAACTATTTTAGGTTTACCTCAAAAGGAGTTCATTTTCACTTGTCTCTATCAGGGGTTTTTCTAGAAAAAAAATGCAAGAGGGAGTACTGCAATTCAGCGGCACCACCAAGTGGGGGAGATATGGTTCTCCCTACCGGGGTGTGGAGTTTTTGTTAATTCAAGTTAAAATGGAGCATTCTAGGGCTTCCTTGGGGCCAAAATTACTATCAGACAGGTCACAGTTGAGGAATGTTGCCACATGTGATCCCTGGTCAATCAGAATTTTACGGTTGCCAGAGGATCTGCTCCCCAGGGTAAGGGGGTGCATGGCCATGGCATGAGGATGCTGCACCCCTGTTCCCTTGTTTAAAAAAAATCCCTGCTCACTATAACTGAAGTTGAATACTATAAACTGTCTTAATTTGGCAAGAAAAAAAGATTCAAATTTTGGGAGTCACAATAAATTGCAAAAATTCTTAGCAGTAAAAATTACATGGTTCACAGTATGTTACAATTGGAACGGTATGTTAAGAATTCATATTTTGAGGGGTTTTACTTGCAATTATAATTTTTTCTACATATTGTTTCACAGTTGCCTTAACTAAGCAACCGAGATACGATATAAAGAAAAAACTTGATAACTGCAAATAAATGAACCAAAATTACAATAAAACAAGTCCTTGAAAATGTTCCTGTTAAATTTTTTAAAGTCTCATTATTCGGCCATCTTTGATCTGATTATGAAACAAACTGACATGTATAATGTATGTGCCAAATAGAATGAAAATGGTACACAAATCTTGGAAATATAGTAGTAAGGCCAAAAAGTCAGACGGCTATCAATCGACCATCCTTGATTCGATTTTGAAACAAATTGTCATGGACATATATCCTAACATATATAACAGACGGACGAAGATCGAATTATAAGTCCTTGTTTTCGAACGAGTATATACCTACATTGTATTTTAATCAGATTGGTTACTTTATGAGCTTACCACATAATATCACTTATAAGTGATGTCATGAGATAGTATTACCCATGTAACGAAGGTGAGTGGATAGTACAGACCATGATGCTACAAAGTATCAACCGGTTCTACAAATAAGTAATATCACATGATAACCTTTTTATCACATGACCAGAAATACAGAGAAATTGTAATTTTATGCAATTGTAAAAATCATCTATTGATTTATTCGTATGACTTCTTTGCATTTACAGTTATAGCTTTAATAGTTTTCGATAATAAGCAGAAATATTACCCGTTTTAGTAATTATATTTTTTCAAATTCATTATTATGATTTATTGTTGTTGCACAATGCAAATATTGGTTAACAAGTCTGAAACATTCACATTGCAAATAAAAAGGATCAATTGCACATTTTGTTTTTCTTCATATCGTACCATACCATACATTATATGGTCATGTGATAAGTTTGTATAGTAATGGTTATGATGATCGTATAATAAGATTGTATTCAATCAATCAATGTCAAATGTTATGGCAGTGGACTTTGCTTTTATTTCCTCAGGGATGTTTTGATGTTCGAGAGAGCAGTGCATTCTGGGAATGCATGGCATTGGAGAGTGAAGCGACTGGAGCAGACCAAATAGAGTTATTATCAACACATCCTAGTCATCAAAACCGAGCAGATAACCTGTCGTACTTCATACCAGAGGTAACGACTGTCAGAGAATTCAACTCACAGCGACATGTCTTACTGTACACCACATGTTCTGAAATAATCACAATAACCCACTTTGCAGTGTAGATATGTTAAAGTGGGGGAGTCATCACCTGCGCATGCGTCAGATGGTCATAACATGTCATTGTTTACAAACAAGTGTCTACCCATGAGCCTTTGCATTTTTAGCGTGCGTTTTTATCGTCGCTTGGGACTCAATTCCCGCGCTTTAAAATAAATCAAAACATCCACTAGAAATATTGACATACATCAACTTAAATGCTGTTAACAGTGTCGGGACTTATTCAACCAAATTGAAAATTGAGCATATAATTCCATGTATCAATGAGAATATCATGAATACTATCAGCCTATTGAAATAACATAATAAATTACTCTTTCTAAACATCAATGAATTGTCATAAATTAGTTTGGATTCTGTTCCTGGTACATTTGAATTCATACAAACAATGGCCAATAACAGTGGTTTGGTAGTTACATCCAACATAAAAAACAGCAATACTGTAAAATCTGTATTAAAAGCCTGACTTCTATTAAAATGGTACAATGCAACAGAGGGGATGTGGTTTCTATTAGAGCATCTACACATATGAGAAATGATGAGTTTTTGGTTCTCAATTGTTTAAAAAGAATATGTGCAACTTCTATTAGGAATGTAGCTTCTAATACAGATTTTACAGTACTAGCAACATATTTATAAAATAACAGATTTGAGACCATGTTTAAAGGAGTACCGACTCATGACTTGTACACAATGTGTGCTCGTACAATTACATGTTAATTTTGCATGTTCATGGTGTTGCATATGCTTATCTTATGAATCATTGGTGATATCTTCATTGCAGGCAATCAATATACGAGAACTATGTAAGTGTCCTCCTCTTCCTCACAAAGATCCCAGAGAAATGGTGAGGAGACTCAAACAACATCTCAAGAAAATGAAAACTGAAGATGAAGTAGTTTTACCATCCGGTGTAACAGTTAAAGTTTAAACGT